GAGAAAATTGATTTTAGCTCAGACCAAAGTCCATAGAGAAAATCAGTGATTTTAGCTTAGACCAAAGTCCATCAATAATTTTTAATCTAGCTCAACACAATGGCGGTTGATCCAATTAATGCTACATCCATTGTTGAGTTTAAATATGACACATTTGACTCATTTTTTAAATTCCTTCATTCTTTGAACTTGCAGCTTTGATTTGAAGCATTTTATAAAATGCGTTCCAGCAAAAAATGGAGCGAACAAAGAGAAGACACACCTGCAGACAACAAAGACCGAGGCTCTGTTTGATGTTGGACCGAAAATGACTGAGAGCAAAGAAAGAGAGCGCGGTGACACCTGCTGCAGGGTCACAGGTCTCCCTCTCTCTCTCCCTCTCTCTCTCTCACACACACACACTTAAAATGTACACGGTGGACAGTGGTTTTTAAAGTTTGAGGCGCCTGAGCGCTCAGATGAGGCCCGAAACACTGGATTGAACGTTGGTGTTCTATGTAAGGATGTGTGTGAACGTATGCACAGAGTGTGTGTGAGGTGTGGGACCCACATGTGTGTTTTGTTGTTTAATGGAGGCAGGCCAAAAAGACAAAAAAAAAAACCCTCACAGTACTGAACAACTCAGTGACATGTTGTGATTTAGTTTCATGGTTGAAAACCCCAGACCTCAGCACGGCGTTACAACCAAGAAACTCTTCAGTTTTTGTTAGAAGAGTTGGACATTCAGGAACGTCAGGGAACATCACCACCAGATGTTGCTAAATACTACATATTGTACAATTAAAATAAACTTTGTCCATTGCTATAGTGTTGAAATATGACTCACTATTAATATAATTTTTTTGTGATTCTTTAATTCTCAGATGTAAATCATGACTCAGAGACTCTTTAAAAAAATCATCTCTTTATTGAAGATAATGAAGACACGTAGATGTTTAGACTTGGACCTGCAGGTGGAGCATTTTAAATCATAAATCATGTATTTATTGTGATTTACAACAACACCCTTTAAAATGTGCTTTTTTTTTCTTTGTTTGGGAAATTATTTTTAGTGACAATTTTCAAAGGCCATTTAGCCAGAACAAGACAAAATAAGATATATTAGTATCATAAAATATTTTTAAATATGGATGAGTACATTTTAAGACTCATTAAAGTGCGAAAGTATAAATGTACTTATAATTAGCACAGCTCTGTTAATCTTTTATTGATTATTTAACAGCTTGGTGTTCTTTATATACTGTATAGAGATTTCTAAATTTGACATTTAAAGAAATATTTATTTTTACACAATAAATGAGTGTAAATGTTCAGGGGACTGTGCCCAAAAATGTATATGCAGGGAGTGTGTCCCCCACCCTCACCCCTCCCACCCCCATTTTCTGCTTCAGCCCCTGTTGTTTGAAATGTGTCTTTGTGTTTCAAGTCTTATTTGAACAATTTCAAAACCATGGTTCATGGTGCGCAGTAGTGACACTTGAGGATCTTCTTGAAGGCGCTCTGGAAGTCCTTGTTGAAGTAGGCGTAGATAATCGGATTGAGCAGAGAGTTGGAGTAACCTAGCCAGTTGATGACGTCATGCAGCCAGCGAGGCATATGGCAGGCGCTCTGGCAGAAAGGCATGACTAGGGCCACGCTGAAGAAGGGCAGCCAGCAGAAGATGAAGGTGCCCATGATGATGCCCAGAGTCTTCACCGCTTTACGCTCCCGCGCCAGCGCCACCTTGCGTTTGGCTTCGGTGGCTTTATTCTCGTGTCTGGTCTGGAACAGCGGCGTGCTGCTGCAGTTGTTGGGCAGCGGCAGGTTGCTCCTGGAGTTGCCCTGGTGAACCTCGATGATCTCCAGAGACTCTCCGTCCTCCACGTGTTTGACGGCGCCGTTGACGCACGGCCGCGGCTTCACGCTGCTGCCGCTCCTCCAGCTTTTTCCCTGGGGCAGGACATCGCCGCAGGCGGCGGCCGCAAAGTGACCCGCAGCTCTGTGGTGGAAGAGAGCCGGTGACCGCGCCACTGCAGCTGGGCTGGAGTCGGAAACTTTTTTCTTTTTCTCACTTTTACGCACCGTCCTCCTAATCCGGAACCGTGCCGCTCTAAAGATCCGGCCGTACAGAACCAGCATCAGGGTCAGCGGGATGTAGAAGGCGCCGAATGTGGAGTAGATGGTGTACCAGAGGTCCTGGCGGATCTTGCACTCCGCCGGGTTCCTCACACTGTTTGGCTGGGAACGCATGATGAGCATAGGCGGCACGCTGATGGAGAAGCCCACCAGCCAAGTGGTGCTGATCAGAACCGCTGCTCTCCGGGGCGTCCGCTTCTTCATATAGTCTATGGGCTCAGTGATGGCCCAGTACCGGTCCAGAGCTATGGCGCAAAGGTGCAGGATGGACGAGGTGCAGCACAGAACGTCCAGAGAGATGAAGATGTCACAGGGAACCTGACCCAGAGTCCAGCGGTTTAAAACCTGGTACAGCGCCGCCATGGGTAGAACCAGCACCGACACCATCAGGTCCGTGACGGCCAGAGATCCGATCAGGTAGTTGGCCACGTTCTGCAGGTTTCGCTCCAGAGCAATGACCGCAACCACGCAAGCGTTTCCAAAGATGGCACAGAGGATGAGCGCACCGAGCAGCAGGGAGGTGAGGAGCTGGTAACTGAGCGTCAGCACCTCCTCCTCCTCCTCTCGCTCCTGGTCCTGCTCAGGGATGAGGATTCTGGTGGAAACGTTGTCCTGCGGCATAAACCACGCGGTGGCGTTGAGCTCCATCTGGGGCAAACACAGCTCAAAGTTTGGGTTTTGGAACTGCTTCCCTTCTTTGCATCTTGGCACCGTGGCTCCGCGATGAGCGCACCGTGCGCATGGGAGGGTCAGCTGCTGGACTTTTATACTGATGATGGAAAATGCGTCACTCCAACTGTGGGAGGAACAGAGACCTGGGAGATGAGGGAGATTCAGGGAGAATTATATCAATGACATTTACAAACATCATCCACGAAAAGACGGGAAGACGTTCTGAACACCAAACTATTTGTCTGATAAATCAAGCTTGTTCCAGTGAGACTACAAGGACAAAGGTCACTGATGGGTCACCATCCATCCATCCATCCATTTTCATCCGCTTATCCGTTACCGGGTCGCGGGGGCAGCAGTCGCCACCCAAATCACATTGCACCGTACCAAACCTTCCTGTGGGTGGTGAGTCCACTGGAAGGTACCAACCAAACCGGGATTCACTCTTGTCCAGGAGGTGAACCCTGGGGTTCCACACCAGTGACAGAGACACTGGCTCTGGGCCAAAGCACCACTTAACAGCAACATTTAAAGTTAAATATGAAACACATTTTGAGTAAATACAGTGCACTTTTAATGGTTTGTCAAAACTCTGAATTGTTGTTTTACAAATGGACATTTGTCTCCATTATTACATGTACACCAGACTGGAGCTGCGTAACAAACTGTAATCATCCTGGTCTTATTCTCAGCAGGACCAGTGCCTGCTCTCACCAATTTGGTTCCTGATCAATATTTCACCCCTGCCCCCTCCCCCCCCTTCAGTGCAGTACACTTCCCCCGTCCGTGTACATTCACTCACAAAAAAACTCAATAATTTGTCTTAGACATTTGCTAACTACAGTGCAAAAAACAAGTGGCGCACAAATGGTTTGTGAGTCAAAACAAATGACCGTGAAATGAGTTCTGTTGGCCTAGGCTGTCCTGAGGTGGGGGTGGACGACTGGAGGTGTTGTTGAGCTGAGGTGGATGATATAGGTGTCGAAATTGAAGGGGGAGGGGTGATTAACATAATAATTACTCACTACAATATAGAGCGTTAGCCAACAAAACTACTTTGATATACAGTATAAAAAAAGGTAGGAGAGGAGCAACGTTAGCTTGATGTATGTGTATATGTAGGTGTTAAGAAATAACAAATAAAACGGGGTTGAATGCAAGCTGTTGACTCTTGAAAAAAAAATGAAATAAAAGTTGCTTAAATAAATGTGTTGTTATGCTTGTTCAATCCATGGGTTCGTTATTTTACATGTCTTTGAATGTAAAAGCGATGAAATAATCATACATCGTTTTCAACAATTTCAGAGGCAACAGTGCCACCTGGCGATATTTTACAGTTGCTGCAGCCAAACAGTTGAAGTCTGTTGAAGGGGCAGGGGTGCGTTGTATGTTAAACGAGACGATGTCAATATACATTTTCAACAATGTATTCAACAATTACTCACATTACCCATTTAATTTTATATAACATTTTTTAGACCGGCAAAATGAACACCGGAAGTTAAAATTTAACAATTCTCCATTTATAATCCGTTATCATCCATTTTTTAAAAATAACTTTTTTACTACGTGTCCGTTACACCCTTTATTCTCTTGTTAAAATCTCTATTTCCTTTGTTTTATTGGCGTTTTTTCCGCTTCGGCACATTTTGATCCACGCCGAACACCGTACAGTCCATAGCTTATGACGTCACCGTGTGGTTTGTTGTGTTCTTCACACTGACTAAACTGAACTCTGTTGGACTTTTGTGAGTTTATTTTACTTTGTTTAAACCGTGAACGTCACTACTGTGCAGTAGTTATCTATGTTGTTAACATATATATATATTTTCGTCTTTTTAAATCATTTCTTTGATTTGAAAACTATTTTACTGTAATTATTTTTTCTAAATAAATCCGTATGTAGTTCACCGTTTCCTTTTGTTTTTATTATTTATAAAGCACTTTTCACACAACGACTGTTGAACAACTGCTTGGTTTATAACCAAGGCTTTCATATGTTTTCAAACGTAGAGGAGAATGTACTCAAGTGTAAATGTATCAACGTTTCAAATGTAACGTTGTTACATAAATAGTGGTGATATGTCAATTCTTAGATGTTTATTGTTGAATATTATGACAAAAATACTAGTAGTAGTCTTTATCTTTTTTCCCCTACCGAGTCTTAAACATGTTCACCTCTGAATTCTGTCTAGAGCTGATTTTCTTTATCAGAATATGGAGTGAACTATCCCTCTTAGTCACCAACAAAACTGGATTTTATTCTAAATACACAGGATTGAGATATGCTCCGATGCAGGAAGTGTCGCAAAGCAGTGGCTGACTCTACCTATTTAATCATGGTATGTAGACAGAAGAGAACCAGTCACAGAGAAACAAAGAAATGACGATGTTAGCCACATTCTCAGCCTGTTTCTATCACAGTGCAGGCTACCAAAGCCAGACCAAGACTTAACTCTGACTTGTTTGTCCTTTTCAAGACCCACATGGATGTCAGAGAAGAAGATTCAGTGTGCAGTATTTGGCATGTGAATGTGGACGAGCTGCCCGACTGGATCTTGAGCTCAGTCCAGCAGGTGAGATTCTGAGATGTTTGTATTCGTTGATCTGACACTCAGACAACTCTCATCTATCCTCCGACATCTGTGCAAAGCACTTTAGTTTCAGACTTTTTCAGGCCCAGTGGACTTCAGGAAAACTGAGCTGCAACAAATGTGGAGCTCGACTGGGCGGCTTTAACTTCATCCACCGCAGTAAATGTCCTTGTGGCCAAGAAGCCAGTGTCCACTTCAACAAAAGCAGAGTAGATAATGAACTGTTGGACAAACATCTGGTCATCCAGCCAAGAAGACCAAGACCTGTATTGGGTCAATCTGTTGCTCTGCTATTGGTCAACTCAGAGGACAACCATCTGGACCCTGTGGACACCTCCACTCCACAGACTGAAGGTAAGAACCATGTCATATCTCAGCACTGTGTCTGCATGGAGGATGGTGGTGAGAGAAGTGTCTCTGGTGTCTGTACCAGGACTGTTGTAGCTAACATTAGCTCTGGTGTCTGTACCAGGACTGTTGTAGCTAACGTTAGCTCTGGTGTCTGTACCAGGACTGTTCTTCAAAGGATAAAAAAATACATTTCCAACATCAAGACATCAGAGGACTCTGTAAACTTGGCCTTAAGACCAGGCTCTGTACATGGAACCTTCATCAGGATTCTGTCTGTCTGTCTGTCTCTGTCATTTCAGGTTTGACGGTCCTGGACAGTCAAAAGATACATTTTGATGGTGAAACCTCAGGTGATGCTGCAGCTCCAGTCTGTTCATCTGTTTCCAGGAGAAGGCAACTGTTCCGGGAGCCAAAGCCCCTGGTCCTGGAGGGGGCTTCAGAGACCAGTTCTGCCCGAGACCAGGTTTCTGCCACAGAGTGTGTGACCAAGTAATATTTGTGTATTTTTCAGCAAAGACATCACTGACAGACTTAGTACTGTTTGTTACCTTCACAGCCTCACACCTCCACAGTCACGACCTCTAGTGGCTCAGTCAGGCACAGCAAGAGAGAGATGAACCAACAGAAGAAGCTACAAAGGAAACAGAAGAAGAGAGAGCAGTGGCTGCTCAGGCAGCAGCAGGTGAGAGGTTAGAGGTCAAATCTGTTGGACATTATAAAGCTCAATGTAACATTTCATGCCAACCTTTATATAAATCTGTTTGATTGATTGAGAGTGAAAGGATTTTTTTGATAGACTCCAAATGCTCTGGGTAACTTATTCAAAGATCCTAAAATAGTCCTCTCCATCTTCAGACAGAAACAGACAGTGAAGATGATAAAGACAGAGAAGGTCTCATCTGTCCTGTCTGTCTGGACGTCTTCTTCCGTCCACACAGCTGCAAACCCTGTGGCCACGTCTTCTGCGAACCGTGTCTCCGCAGGGTCGCAAAAAACCGAGCCAGGTCTACACCCTGTCCTCTGTGTCGCAGTATTATCTCGTACACTGACGTCAATAAAGGTGAACCTTATCCACAAACTAAAATGTTATCTTTTTTCTACTGATGTAATGGGACGTCCTGACCTGATGTGTTTCAAGAGTTTCTTTCCCCAAAAGACCTACAACTAGAGGCAAAAACCATAAACTCCTTATAAAGATTTTTATTGCTGTAAGAAACGGACGGTGATTAGTTCCACACAGACAGTGCTGTCACCCCCTGGTGGTCTGACAAGAACACTTCTCTGTCTTTAGATCTCAACCAAACTGCAATGACCTCCTTCCCTAAACTTTACAACTCTCGCAGAAACAGCTTACACAACACACAGTGCTCCAAATGGATGCTGCCCAGATCCAGGGGTGAGAGATTCTTTTACATTCCCTGATTTCAAACCAACAGTGACCTGGTTAATGTGCTTTTTGTCTTGGTTGAGTCATGTTTAAAAACAACATATTTAATACTTTTGGATATAGGTTTTCAGAGGCTTGCAGCTGCATCACACCCGGATGACCTGCCTGGCATTCTGGATATCAGCACCTGGATTGTGGCTCTGATGTTTCTGGTTCTCTTCATCTTCATTATTTGAAAAAGACAAATCCCCTTTGTACAGATTCCTAATACGCGTTTTCTCTGGAAAAAACTTGGTGTTGGTTTTTTAGAAACTATTTCACAAATTAATCATTCAGGCTGATGCACATGATTTTTTTTGTCAATTCAAAATAATAATAAAAAAGCATATCCTTTGTATGTGTTTTGTTTTTATAACACAAAAAGAAACATTTGGAAACTACTCATTTTCCTACACCAACGTCCACAGAAAAAAAAAAAAATCAGTGATTTTAGCTCACAGACCAAAGTCCATAGAGAAAATCAGTGATTTTAGCTCACAGACCAAAGTCCATACAGAAAATCAGTGATTTTAGCTCACAGACCAAAGTCCATAATGACAGACTGGTGTAGGAGAGTCTGTGATCAATATCATGATGGTGTCTTGTGTTGCCGTTGGTTTGTTCCTCCTCTCACGTGAGGGTGACATGAGCAGCAGCATCCCCTCTCTCGCTTCCTTTAGCAGGATTTGAAGGTGACACCCTCTCCTTCCCCCTCTATTCCCTCCTCCCTCCCTCCCTCCCTCTCTCTCTCTCTCTCTCTCTCACATCCTTCCTCTCAAGCCTGATTTGGAACACGGCCCTACTCCTGCTTCTGCTCCTGCAGAATTAAGAACCAACGCTACGTGACTCCCACCGTCTCTTCAGAGCCCACTGCAGGAACATATCTAATCTCTGTGTGTGTGCATGTGTGTGTCTGTGGCTGTGCATGAATGTGTTCTGCACCGTGCGGAAGGAAGAAGCGGATCAGGTCTGCAGGCAGCAGCAGCATCTTCAGCAGCAGCGTCAACAGAGGAGGAGGAGGAGAGCAGGAGGAGCGCAGGGAGAGTGGGGAGGAGGCGGTGGACAGCAGCAGGATGGTCAGTCACCGAAGAATAGAATGGACGTGTGAATGAATGACTGCACTGATGACAAAGAATCTGCAGCAGGGAATGGGTTTTTGTCTCCTTTAACCACCCTGCAATAGCAACAGCAGCAGTGGTGGGAACAGAGGGGGGGGGGGGGGGTGTGGGGGGGGACCCAGCCTTGAAAAAGTGCTTATATGTGTTGGCAAGGAGCTTGAAAAAGCTGGAAAAGTCCATCAGTGTTTCTTTAAAAAGAATTATAATTACATAAGCTAATTGTTAGCCAAAATTGCTAATTATTCTTAAATTTGCTACTTTGTTCTTAAGTTAATAATTACTTGGATCGTGTATTTGCTGTGGTGGATTTTATTTTCTTCTATCAAATGTAAACCTCTTTTAACCTAAGGATAAATAAATACAAATGTTAAAGACAGACATGTCGAACAAACTAAGCAAAAGTTGACCTAGTTCAGCAACCTTTGGGTTTTTGTTGTTTTTTTCACTGATTTTCTTAATTATGGTCATCAGTTTATTTCACATGATTAATTAAGTGTTTTTCTTTTTCTTCTTCTTCAACTTTAACTTGGTAGCTAACAACAGCCAAATGTTTTATTAAGAAATCTACAAGTTTTAGATTTACGTTTAAACTTCTTAAGGAGGGAGTGGATTAGTGTCTGGTTCTAGGTTCAGTTTAACAAAAGATTCAGTTCCAGGTTTGGTGTCACTAGGAAGATAAAGATGTCCTCTCTCTGTAGACCACCACTGTGGTGACCCCTAATTAGGTAACAGGCCAAACGTGTTTCTTCTAAGAAAGGGGCGTGCCCAAAATGGCTAAATTTGCTCAAAGCTAACTGAAGGTTAGTCAAAGGAAAGGTGTTTGGTGAAAATAAATCAGTTCACCAAACATGAAACACTGGATAATGAGGGGAAGAAGAAAAAGAAGAAGGTAGCCTTGAATGTATGGCAATATTTTTGGCTGAGATGAAATCACCACCAGGTGAATGTTCACTGTAGTATTTGTTATTTGAACATCAGTCCTCAGGTGTTGATGTGAGTTTCATGATCTTTACCATCTGCTGCTGCTGACCGTCTCTCTGTTCCTTCAGACTGTGCAGGAGTTCAACACCCTCGTGGCGCTCTACAGGGAGCAGGTCATTTCCATCGGAGAGATTTCAGCGGACTGTCCATCACTCAGGGCTCAGATGCAGCAAACTCGCTCCAGAGGCTGCTCCATGGCCCGGGAAGCTCATCACGACCTGGCCCTCGTCTCTCTGTCAGGGTGAAAAGAATTCATCATTAAACTTGTTTTAAACAGGTCCAGATCCAGGTCCAGGTCCAGGACAGTTTGTTTGCAGTGGCTTTAAAATATTACAGGCTGGTATTTGCCAATTTTTTTGCCAATTTGCCAGGTTGTTAGAGGAGCCTGAGCCTGAGCAGACACACTGACTCCCCTGTTACTTTGACTCACACTCACAGCTACGTGTTTCTACAACAACTCCCATGTCTCCTAAGAATTCAGAGACTGTGAGGGAGAGACATTCAGCCTCACTCACAACAACAACGTAGACCCAGAAGGTTTTGTAACTGATCCACTGGGAGGGTTTAGCTGAAGACGACATCCTCCTCTAATGTAGAGGAAACTAACTGACAACTAACTAGTCCTCCACATTTCTGCCCTTCTCCTGCTGCTGCAGTCTAGAGGACGGAGAACTTCCCCCTGAGATCTGTCGTCTCTTCATTCAGCTGCAGTGCTGCCTGGAGATGTTCATCACAGAGATGCTCAAGTCCATGTGTCTGCTGGGAGTTCTGCAGCTGCACAGAAAGAGTAACTGCACCAACTCACCGCACCACATTACAGCCTCACCTCACTGGATCACATGTGAACATGGCAGCGTCAACATCGCTGCAGTGTGTGTCGGTCGTTCACGTCACTGCATCGCTGCACGGCTGCAGTGGTCACTGTCCATTATTCCACAGTCATTATCACAGCATCACTGCGTCAGGTTAACACACAGATCAGACTGTTGTATTACTGTCATCATCACTGCATTACATCACTGTCACTGCCTCAGGCAACTGCATTATGTCACTGTATGGTGCAGTTTGAAACAATGGAAATCATTCAAAGTTAAGTTATAAAGAGAATTATATCACATTAAAATTGCACCTTTCCTAGTTCCCCAACTTATGGCACATCAACGTTGAAACACTGATATGTGCTTCAACCCAGTAGGTGGCAGTAGTGCACTTAAAATATACGTATTTACTAGCAAGAAGAAGGTGAAAACAGGACAGTGGTGAGCAGTGAGGGTTGAGGAGACAGGATTAATTAGTTTGTTTAATAAAATAAATATAAAATATAAAAATAATATAAAATAAAAATATTTTAAAAAATGTTGATTTAGATATAAATGTAATTTATTTACAAAACCTCTAATCAATTGGATTTTTTTTCAATTGTGTCCACCACAAATTAAATCACAACTTACTCAGAAACAAAAACCTTTAGAAGTCAGTTCAAATAGTAAACAGCAGAGGACGGTATCGAGCAGCTCATGTAAAAACAAAAAAGTGACTAATGACAGGACACAGTTGTTTACATTTACTGTCTTCTTCACGGCCTCTGTAGGAACATACTCCGAACCCAAACTGGACTTGAGGCTGGATGAGAGCTCTGACATTCCCTTCCTGGAAGAACGCTCCTCCTCTCCCATGGACTTTCCTACGGAACAGTGGCTGATGGGAAACGACATTGAAAACATAGAGAGGTAAGAGCAGCGACGTCAAGACATAGGTTTTAACTGCAGGTCCAGGTTCTTCTGTGGGCAGGTCTTTGAGGTTGACGTTCTAATGTGTGCATGTTGTTGTTGTGGATTAACTCGGGATTAAATAATCTGATCTGAAGGTGTCTCTGCTTAATCATGTCATTTCCTTGTCCCGACAGAGACATGAGAGACATGAGAAACTTACTCAGCAAACTCAGGGACACCATGCCTTTACCTCTGAAAAACCAAGGTAAGGTATGAGAATATGAGATTATAACTAGATGAGATTAGATTAGCTCAGATCAGATGGACTAAGTAGAGTTAAGAAGAGACTAAATGAGTCAAGAGATGAGAAAAGTGGAGTTACACCAGCTGAAATGAGATGATGTTTTAATGGAAAAATAAAAAGCTGATTGAAGTGAGTTTAGTTAAACTTGAGATTAGACAGGATGAGATTAGCTAACATTAGTAAAAAAAAAAAACTGTGCTGAGATGAGATTAGACCAAGCAACTAATGAAATGAGACTCATTTCTTTCCCCCAGATGACAGCAGCCTGTTGAATCTGACACCGCCCCCTCTGGTCAGACTGAGGAAGAGACGTTTTCCTGGACTCTGCTGTGTGGTGTCAGGCTGAGAGAGAGAGAGAGAGAGGGGGGGGGAGAGAAACAGAGCGAGAGAACGCAGCCATTTTCTTTTCTACCTTAACTGTGTCTGACAAGGTTGCATGTATTTACAGTTGCCCTGCAGGTGGTGCTGTAGACACAGAGTCATGTCACATTGCACAACTGTTAAATATACATTTAAAATTTATCAACTATTTTTCCCCACAACAGGTCAAACATTTATCTATCTTAAAATCTAATTCTGTAACACAAAGAGTCATCAGTGGTCAGACCCCGCCCCTCCCATTTGATCTCACTTTTGCTTTAGGTTTGTGTTGTCTTCTGATGATTTCAGTAGTTGTGGTTTAGTTTAAGAGAATTATTTCATATTCTGACCTCTGACCACTGACATTCGAGTTTCTCACACCCAGTGTGTTTTCATTTCAATTTTAAATTATATTTGTTTCAACCTATAATGGTATTTCTATGATACGTCAAGCTGCAATCTCTCAAAGGTGACACAGCAAGGACATGGTCAGACAAGAACAACAATAATAATGTATATTTTAGTGTTTTCCACTGTTCCTTTACGTGTTATAAACGAACACGTTGACATTTCTGGACTATGCACAGGCGTCTCTACAGACGGTGAGTCACACTGTGCTCACATCTGAATATTTTACAGTGACCTTCACTGTAAAGGACGAATTATTCATCGGCTGCTCTAATTACGATTGTTTTAGCTGTAGTAAAAAGAAAAAAAAATGTGTGTAAAGTTAAACGTTAACAGAAATGAAGGATCTGTTTGAAAACTAGATGTAAAGTTTTAGAACTCCACATTTTGTTTTATGGCTGAAGATGGCGTGATCAGCAGAACTGAGTTCTTTCTAAGGCAGGAAATATCAAAATTGTACATTTAAGTGGTAGTTCAGGTTTTCCTAAAGCGCCTCCTGCTGCTAGAGGTGCGGTCTAGCTCAAAATCATTTGCGTCAGCATCAATCTACGACATCTTCAGAATCTGTTTCCTGCTCAGCTCACTGTTAGACAAATGCAGTTTGTTATCGTCTCTCATCTCTCCATCCCCGAGGTTCACCAAGGAAATCTGATTTTAGCTCACAGAGATACAGAAGCTGAGGGCCTCTGCTGCCTCCTGTGGTCATTTTGTGTCACTAAGATGAATGTGAACAAAGGATTTCAAAACCTGAAGTAACAATTTTTAAATAAAATGAAGGAGACAGGTGTTCATTTAAAACAAAAGTATATTTTTTATGTTTCAATGGGTCTGGGAATCAAATGTAATGCTTTTAATGACACTTAAGACTTTCATGTTCGCCAAACTTTTAAAACTGATTTTTAATGCCTTTTAATGACCCGCAGAGACTCTGCGCATGATTTTCTTTTTTTAGGATAAATCCTTAAAAAAAGCGTTTGATTTTCCATTTGTCGCCACCTTCAGGACAGAGTTGTTAGTTTTGTTTTAACATAATATTTAAAGATGTAAAAATAACATTAGCATCACGATCAGTCTTCCCTAAAGAAAGAACTTGATAACTGTATGTCTAAAGGGCTTTGCACACACATTAAAATACACACACACGCAATTATCCAGTTAGGCGCCTGAATGTCGGTGCAGTGTCTATTGTGTCGTTCTGGTGTTTGTGACTGTGATGTCATTACTGTGGTGAAGTGTCTGAAAATATTTCAGCATGTAAATAAATGTGTGTCGTGTCCTGTACCTGAGAGAATCTCAACCATATGTACAGCAGTGGATATTTTATAATGTCAAAAATAAAGGTGTTTTTTTTTACGCAAACCAGAAAATGTCTCTCTGTTCTAACATGTTAACAGCTTTGACTACTGGTTATAAAAATAAAAGCTGGTTCTTGGAGGACTGGTGGTTCAAATCCTGGCCTCAGCTTATGCATGTTGAGCAAACGTACAAAGTCTCCACTGCTCCTAGGGGGCCTGCTCCTGTGTTACTGAGGGGACATGTAAAAGTTTGGTATGAAGCATATAACGTAAAGTTAGCCAAGAAATTAAAATGTAATGAAAACAAAATTGAAAAATGTGTTTGTTTCTTCCTGATGATAAGGAACAAATATTTGGACAGAGTGAAAGAAAAGTGAAAGATGAAGATTCTTCTCCTCCTCACAGTGACTTTATCAGTGACAGATCTCAACATCTGGTTTCTGTCTCCACAGTTGAGAAACTTCTACTTCCCGTAACAGTGAGGAGCAGCAGGAGAGTTATGTAAGAATTATTTATTGCAATCTGTTCTAGTCTCTGTTATTATAAGGTTTTTTTGGACATATTTTGTCAGTTTTAAGTTCTGCAGCCGAGACGGAGCCGAGCCTCAGACCAAACTCTGTCTGCAGCACAGAGAAGACCACAAAAACACGGAGTTCTGAATTGTGCTGAAGAGGACGACAAACGGCTCTGAGGTGAGACCGGGTTGGTCTGGACGATTTAAAACCTCACACAGAGTCAAGGTATCATGTTTTAGGTGTTGTGTTAAACTTTGTCTCCAGGTTGTTGACTTCTGGTCGTCCAGTTGTCTTGTTTTATGTCCACACAGGTTCTACATTAGTGAGGTTTGGTCACTTTACAGATGTTTCCTAAAGAATAAACATTTTATTTTATTTATTATTAGGTTTAATTTAGTGCCAATTTTGTACAACTGTTACCAAATTGTGGTAAACGTAGATTAAATTAGACCTTAAGTCAATCTGTCATTTTGTTTTAAGGCCGTTTTTAATTTCTTTTCCTTGAGTTTGTTAATTGTTCATTTTCAGTTTTTTAATGACTGTGGTTAAATATATATTTTAGCTACATTTAATTGGCTTTGCATTGTTTTTTCAAAAGATTTGAAAGCAAAAAAACAACTGTTGTTGAATTTTTGACTTCATTTCAGATCAGATAAACCCAGTGTTGGTGTGCGTGATGGCCCCCTTCAGGCGGCTCTTACTGCTGTCTCTGCAGATCCTCAGCTGCACCTCGATTGCCCTGGCCTGTCTCTGTGATCGATATGACTGGACTTCCTGGACTGCCTGCACCAGAACCTGTAACCATGGGACACAGAAGAGAGTCAGGCAGGAGTGGATTAAGCATGATTAAGACAAATGGACACCAGTGTTAGAACATAACAGAACATTGTTCACTGACTTGAGAACAACAACAAACATTTTGCCATGTAAAATAGTGCTTCTATTTGTAAACATGACTTGATTATTTTTATTATTTCCTTGTAAACAGGATATTCACCTACGACATGTACTTCTGGAAGAACAGTTGTGCTCAGCTCTGCCCCACTTGGGACACCAGAGCCTGTAATGAACAGTCCTGTCCAATCAACTGCATACTGACCGAGTTTGGACCCTGGTCTGACTGTTCGCCCTGCGCCAAGAAACAGGCAAGAAAATGATCGTCTGTCTCTCGAACCATCTGTGTCTCACTGTCTGTGTCTGTCTTCCTGTCTATGACTGTATCAGTCTCTGTGTCCCACCTATTTTTTTCAGACTGATTTTTTCTGTCTGTCTGTGTTTTACTGTTTGTGTCTGACTGTCTGGACAGTTTCGAACCCGGGCCGTGCAGAGACCGTCCCAGTTTGGTGGGTCAGACTGTGACGTGGTCCTGACCCAGGAGCGTGCTTGTTACCCCTCCACTGAGTGTAAACTGCCCACGGTGGACTGTAGAAACGACTTCAAGTGTGAAAACGGTAGAGTTTTAAATCTGTCTCTTACTTTTTTTCTGTGGAAGAAGAACATTATCATCCAGGATGACATGGTCAGCTCTAATGTTTATTTGAAGCCATTTATTGGAGGGATCTGTTCCGGTGCTAATGCTAACTATTAGCCGTTGTTGACTATCAAACATAGTTGACTGTTTGTGTCAACAGTTATGTATTTTTGACCCAGTTTCAACATTGTTATAGTTTTTTGGCCAATGAAAGGGTCTGTGTAAAGTTGATTAGACTTCAATAAAAATATTAGCAAATATAAAAGTAATATTTTGCTAACAGAACATTTCACCTGGCTCCATTAACCAAGATGGTGGTTATGTAATCTCACTGAGTGGAGACATGGAAGATGTGTCCACAAAACTATAGGACTTCTATAAACATTGTCCACACAAGTATAGACAGGAAGACACATATTTACAGACTCCGTGACTGTGCGTGTGTGTTTTTCAGGTCGCTGCATCAACTCTACCCTGAGGTGCAACAAGCAGAACGACTGTGGGGATAACACTGATGAGAGAGACTGTTCTCAGACCACAGTAGTGTGTCCAGCAGAGAAGAGAGCGGCCCCCGGGTCCGACCTGGTGGCCAACGGGTAGGTTACCGGGTCAGAGAGGCCACCCCTAAGTGGTGGAGGACATTCCTTTCTGACCAACATCAGGCCCTCACACTAAACAGCACCTGCTCCGTCCTGGTTCCTTCAAGGCTCACGTCAAATGTTCATTAAACTTTAATAAAATTAACTTCAATCCAACTTCAATAGACTTGAACGCTGAGGACAAGGGGAAAAGATCAAATTTGCAGCAGTCTGTGACTCCAGACTGGGTCAGAACTCATCAACAGAACCGACCACTGCCACTGATCTCACATCAGTCCATGAAAATTCAAACCTTAATCGTCAGACTTCCTGTTTCCTCAGTTGTTCTCCTTTCTCATCTTCTCTGTTGTGTCTGAAGGTTTGACGTTTTGGCTGAGGAGCCGCGGGGGGAGGTGTTGGACAACATGTTTATGGGCGGAGAATGCCTCATCAAGAGACCGCCCACCACTCTGCAATACCACCGAGTCCCTCACAACTTTGAAAACTTTGACATCAAGGTTGAACTGATGCTTTTAAGTTTGAACATGTAACAAATGTTGCATAGGATGTAACATTAAACTTAAAAAATATGTAAATTCTTTTTTCCACCTTTTTATCTGCAGGTGGGGGTGTTGGAGGATTTCAGCATCGAGCCCAAACCACTAAAGACAGAGTCCATCAGTATCAAATCTTCATCTTCATCATCTCAGGACAGTGGTCAGCGCAAAGACACGCTTTTCCTGCCCATTCTCATCTTCCTCACAAAAGGGTCCAGATCACAACTTAGCTCGCACAAGGAGGCCTTCGAAGCATCCAAGAAAATAGTGAGTCATCGGCAAAAAATAGGAAATGTCCTAAGATTATTCTTGTCCATGTTTTTTTTTATTTGACCCCATTTTCTGCTAAAAATGTATTTTTTTAAAAAAAGCTAAAATTAGTATGTTGCCAAGAGGAAAACCAAAAGACAAATTAGCTAACTTTAGCTACATTGTAACTAACATTACCAGCAGGTTTGGAAAAAAATTTAAAAACAGACAAGAAAAACAAAAAGCTTCTCTGAATATAAAACTGCTTATAATACAACCAAATATTATTAAAATGATCAAAGCTAGAGACAACCCAGAAAGATTAGTGAAAGTGGAAACATAGCATTAAGACATTTAGTCTAGATGGCGTTCAGAGTAAGCCAAAATAATCAATAGGTTTCAAATAACAACAATGATGAAAACAGGGCAAAGAAACTCAAAAAAGATAATTAAACAACATGAGATGAAGCCAAAAGAGTTGACTCACCCGCACCTGTCAGACCCAGTCCACATGAGTCTCCCTGCCCTTCTCTCTGCAGGACTCCAAGTTCATCAGGGTCCACCAGGTCCTCCCTGTGTCCACGTTTAAGGTCCGCAAACCAGCAGACTTGGTACTGTCTCTGCCCTTCCTTCAATTCCTCCATGCCTTGCCCCTGGATTACAACTACGCCCTCTACAGGGACATTTTCCAGCGCTTTGGGACACACTACTACAGCTCTGGAAAACTGGGGGGGCACTACGACCTGCTGTACCAGTACAGTCGAGAAGAACTGAAAACCTCAGGTACCAGAGCGTCAGTCCTTCTCTCACCTGACAATGAAAATAAAATCACACGTTATTTAAGGACAACATAAATAAAAAGTATTCACCCTTAGAACCTGACATTTTGCATTTTTGTTTATTTATTATGGGCTTTTTGTTTTACTGAAATGAGCATGTAGCTCCCGGGCCTGTAGGTGGTGCTGTTGTACAAACACGTATGTAGCGATAGCAAAATGTAAATTGTGTGGGTATGATAAATTTAAGCATTTCCCCCAGTATACCACTAGAGAGAGCCAAACTTACCATAGTTTGAGATCAACTGAGCTAAAAACTATAAATAACAGAGGGGGAAAATGATGTTGTAGAGAAAGCCTCCTGTTGCAGCTTTAAATGAGTAATTCTAATCTGGATTAATGCAATTCTAGATTATTCTTCTGAAAAATAACTCGATTAAATCACTTTATTTGTACAACAGGTGAAACAGAGGATCACTTTAAAGGTTGTTTGGGTCGAGAAACGACCTGGTCCATCATCCTATACACAGAACACAGCAGTGTGACCCGCTGCACTGACACCACCACCACTGAAAAATACAAAGGTCAGTTCTACAGAACCCACGGACTTCATCAGTCTTCATCACTGGGATCACATTCTTAAATGTTGTCTTCTGTTGTGGGCCAGGCTCGTACATCCAGGCAGCGGAGAAATCCTTCTCCATGGTGAGAGGAGGTCGACCCAGAGAAGCTGCAGCTCTGGCGTGGGAGAGAACCGGTGCTACCCCAGACCGCACCTCCTACAAGAACTGGGCCAAGTCACTGATAGACAACCCTGCAGTGGTGGAGTACGAGGTCTGACCTGCATCTGGTTCCTTTTCATTTGTCCTGGAAACAAAACTGGACTGAAAATGTTTTTTACTTTTTTTTTTTTTTTTGCTTCTGCAGCTGCTGCCGATCATAGACCTGGTCCGAGGAGTTCCCTGCGCCGTCACCAAGAGGAGACACCTGAGGAAGGCTCTGCTGCAGTATCTGGAGGAGTTTGACACCTGCAAGTGTTCACCATGTCCCAACAACGCCAGACCAGTTCTGTCTGGTACCGAGTGCAAGTGTGCTTGTCAGACTGGAACCTATGGTACAAACTGTGAGAAGAGAGCTCCAGACTTCACCTCAGGTAGAGTCCGACAAAAATGACTAAATTAAGCCTAGTGACACAGGAGCTGCCGGTCCACTGCTGCCTCCTGTGGTCGGTTTGAAATATGAAAAAAAAAAAAAAAAAAAGTTCATTCTTGGTGTGTCTCAAATAGATTTATTATCATAATATAAACATATCTTTATATATGACAATTTTAGCACAACTGTAGACTAAAAAAACATTTTCAATGTAAAAATTCTTTACTTTTTCCCCCCAAAGGAACAGAAAAAAAACATGATTTTATTTAAACTTGTTTTCAGTTAAACTCCTGTCTATTGTTTGTTGTTTTTTTCCCACAGAGGCTCAGGATGGATACTGGAGCTGCTGGGGACCATGGAGTGGCTGTGGGGCCAACATGAAAAGACACAGGACCAGACGCTGCGATAACCCTGCACCCCTCAAAGGAGGACAAGCATGTTCTGGTCCAGAAAGAGTAGTGGAGCCTTGTCACGTCTCCATCTTTGAGAAGTAAGACTGTTCACATTTAAACTCAGATGAGGTCCAGATTGACATTTATTCTTTATTTTAATGCATGTTCACATAACTACAGCACTTTTCACTGGCCTATGTTTTAGCACAATTTTAAAACTTTTTCTGCATATTTCATTTGTTGATTGTATTTTTCAGCCCGGATTTTTCTGCACAATTGCAAATAATGATTTTCATAAACATGAACTGTATTTTCTGTAAAAATGTCTTAATTTTACTAAACAAGTCATTTTTAATATTTTTTGATTGACATTCTTGGTGTTTTCATATTCTGGTTTTTCTGCTTTTTTCACATATTTTATTTCGTTACATTATAAACCATTTTATAGTACTGTTTTTCAAAGCAATTTGACTTTTTGAAGATTTTTTCACACTTTGAAATTGACAGTTGATTTTTCTCATGTTCATTTTTTTTTGCACAGACATGAAACCTGTGACAACGATGATGACTACACTGTGGGCTGGAAGGATGAGCTGCCTCCTGGTGTTGAGGGCTGTCTGAGACCACAGAGGCCGGAGAACAGTTTCCTCAGGGTAAAGGAAAAAAACCAAACAAACAAAAAAATACCAACCAGACCCCAGTTTCCAGCCCAGTTGTGCGAATCCAGTGTCAACAAATAATTCCAGTTCCTAAAGCCCCAGAAAATCTTTTGATTTTGTGCAGCTTGTGACAATAGGTTAAAATAATAATAATAATAACATTTCCCTTTTTAGCAACCTGATATTTTTCTGGGGCATAAAAGATTTTAGAAAGTTTTCACAAAAATTCACACTTAACATTTCTGCACTTAATACAATTACACAACCTCAGTATGGAGGTTTTCCATTTTAACCATTTTTACAATAGTTCATATTCTTGTCATTTAATTTATTCTTAGTATTTTTTTTATCAGAATATTCAGTACTTTACCTGCTTAGTCGAACTTTTCACCTCGGTAATGAACAGCTCCAGCCGCCTTTCAGTCTTCACACCGGGCTGTAATCAACGCATCGATGTGAAACTTTACCGTCGGTAGAAACGTTTGAAAACCGTCTGTTTGTTCGACATTTCTCTATCATGGTGACGTCGGTGCACGCGGGCTAACTCATATTTACTTAAAAAAAATTCCAAACATCCAAATATCGCTTTACCTGCAACATTTTTCCGGCGTCTCCCGGGGAACTCACGCCACTTCAATTAGCCCGCGACGACCGCTTCTACAGCACCTGTCAATCACATCCGCTTCTCGCGCCACTTCGTGCCTTTAGCGCCCTCTACTGTACCGGCGTAAGTTTTTACATAGTGCCTCTCAGATAAACTGTCAAATAGTTTACTACTTCTTCGCGGTCATTAATCATCTTCTACCGCTCATCCAGTGACTATTCTCATCTGACTGCTCTGCATTTGGTCATTTTTTCAGTTCTACCATGAATTAAAACGTTATCTCTTATTGTGTACACCCTATCATGTACAGACACATATTTTCAGTCCCCATCACATCTTTCAAACAAAAAACATAATAACTCACATTTACTTTTTCATTCACACCTTTGGTCCATTCACAGTGAATAATCTCCCAATCAGGAATCTGTTTTTGCTCCAGTGTTTTTCCAGTTTCCGGCCACAGTTTCTGTGTCTCTCTCCTTGTGTTCCACAGAAAGCCAAGCAGTATTATGAGTTTGGTGAGAGTGAAGAGTTGCACTGCTTCACTGGTTTTGAACTGGAGGGTTTCCAGTACATCAACTGTCTCCCTGATGGGACCTGGAGTCCGCCCCAAATAAAATGCAATAGTACGTTTTTATCGTCATTATTTTTATAATTGGTCTTTGATGGACAGATGACCTCTGACCTCTCCGCAGGAAAACTCTGTCTTCCTCCTGAGATTCCAGAGGGAATGACCTTTTCTCCAAACAAAGAACAGTACAAGGTCGGAGAATTGATTATATTGAACTGCGATGACTCCACTCTGTCGCCGAAGCCTCGTGCAGTCTTCAAATGCAGCCCTACTTTTACTTGGGAGCCTCCCATCCCTGCAGACCTGCGCTGCTCCAATGGTACTGACCGGTCCACTGTCACTGCTGTCATTAATATTAAACATAAATACCAAAAAAAAAAAAAACAAACAAACAAAAAAAAACGTTTTCAATTCAATCAACACAAACACAAAAGGTGACAGATCTTTGTTCTTGTATTGGTAGAAGAGCCGTATGTCCCAGATGGTCGGTGTGGTCTGGGACAGAAGATGCAGGACTCTGAGTGTGTCTGTGTCCCGAGAGAGAGCTGTCTGTAGGTGTCACTTTTCCCACACTTTGTCATATTTTTCATGCAAATATGTGGAATCTTCAATTTGTTTTAAATATTACAGCAAATATTCACAGTTTTTACCTGTTGTGTTTTTGTGTGTGTGTGTGTGTGTACACCGTTCACAGCAAGCAAACCTCTGTGTCCTGAACATGGCTGTGGGTAAGACCGTGTCTATGTCCCTGTGCTCCTTCCACGCAGGCCGTTGCCACGGTGACCCCCTCATGTACGTGGATGAGGGCACTTGTGAGGACGTTGACCCAGTAAAACTGAACTGGGCCAAGTTCAGAGGAGAGATGGCTGCCAAGAGTTCTGTTCAAGTGCCCTGTGACCTGAACACGTGCTACGAGTGGGAAACCTGTTCTGGTGAGTGGAGGATCAGAAGAATAAATGTTGGCCACTTAAGGTCCTTCATTAGCTTATGTTTATTTTATATTACTTTTTTGTAACATACATTTTCTCAACATTTTTAATGTTTTTCAGAAAACAATTGCTAGACCACTTATGTGTTCAAAGGTTTTGTGAAACATCTTTTAGTTTTAATTCTATAATGCGCTTTGATTGTATATCTATAATTATAATTCTAAGACACAAATGTTGGTTTGTGTCAAAACCTTGTTTTTTTTACATACATTTACTTTTTTGTATTTTTAAATACAATTATACATGCGTTTTTCGTTCTATTACAAATTTTCTAAACTCAATCCTGACTCTAACCTGGATTCTCCACAGAGTTCAAGAAGTGTGAGTGTAAAACGGCTCACGAATGTCCCAGAGCTGATGCTCAGCACAAGTACTGCGTGATGCTGACCAGAATTCAACAAACTCGAAGTCTGGGCCTCTGCTCCATGGCTGCCCTGAAATGTGCCAGCTACGACATGGAGATCGTCAGTGACGGCGACTGTCCGTCCAAATGATTCTCTATCTGGAGAACACCCACCAGTGCTGTCATGTAGACCCTCTCTGACCTTCACCTCTGACCTTCAACCTTTGACCGTCACCCCTGACATTTATTCCCAAGAGAACCTTTTATGTTGATTTTAATTTTAATTTTTGAATGCATGAACTTATTAAAAATCATCTGTCATTTCTTCCAGAAATTCAAGATTTGTTTGTGAGTTTGTTTTTTACTGTTACATTTTTACACACACAGTTTCACACTCCTGGGGATTTGATTTGAGAATTAAAAGACAACTACAATGTTTTATTAAAAAGTGTTTCATTTTATTGTCTATGACTGGGAGAGAAAGAAAAGATTTACATCATTGAAACACATACAAAATTCATTGTTCAACTATTTACATTTCTCACACTCAGAAAAAACAAAGTGAAAGAATTAAAAAAAAACTCAGTAGTGAAGAAAGAGAAGAATTTTGTTATGGTGAACAGGCGTCAATGTCGATGACGGTCACGTGTTCTCCTCTGCACCTCCTCGCTCCCACCTCACATTCACTCATCGTTGTGGCAACGCTACCATCACCAGTGTTCACACACAAGGGGGCGGAGTCTGACGGACACGCTGACGGATCCTGACAGACGCATTTTCTCTCAGACTCTGAAAGGAAAAAAACCCAGAACTTATAAAAGCCAATGTTTTGTGCAAATAAACTGAGTAAGTGGCACCTAATAGACAAGTGTGAAATGATATCAAAACATTAGTGAGACCAGGCAAATAAAGAAAGACGAGTACAAAGGGCAAAAGCGTTTCCAAAATAAATGTTAAAAAATAAATAAATAAATAAAAATCTCACCGCTACAGACTGTCCCTGGTTGACAGTCGGCACACGAACTGAATTCCTCTGACCATTTACACTCACTGTCAGCTGACAGACTGAAGTCCCGTCCCATGCACCTTAGCGCCCCCAGCTGGCAGACTCCCAGAAGACGGTGACTGGGTCCGAGCCTGACGCACAGCTGCAGAGACGGCCTGCGGGAAATACAGTAATTCATCTAAGTAACGCTCAGCCTGTTTGAGGTGATGTGTGTAAATTAAAAAATATATAAATTTGATAAATGTATAAATAAATACATGTGAGAACTCACGGGCACTGAGGCGGCATGAGACACACACACTCCGACTTTCCCATCTTCTCCCACAGTTTACACTTCTGCAAAGATGGCGGAGGAGGTGCGATCACCAGCACTGATTGGACCAGAAAATAGAAGTTACTACAGTAACTGTTAAATACTGTTTACTAGGGAGTACTTTGATGTTTTTAAAATTATTTTTTGTCTTCAGAACCACACTATTTTTTCTGGGCTTCAACTGTACCTTTTCTGCAGAGCGCCTCCACTGGAGACGGGGACCACTGCAGACTGGGACTACATATGATTTCTGACACCTCCCCCTCCAGCACTGACCCTTCTGGACATGAAAGGGTCATTCTATCTCCAATCTCATAGGCTGGTTTTGTGGGCGTGCCTATTACATCACCACTGATTTGAGGAGAATCACATGTGGATCCTGAGGAGAAGAGAAATCGGATAACATTTGTCAGATGTTTTGGTCCAGAATTTAAAAGTGGACTCGAACTCGTGTTCCCTGGTTTTTCCACTGAGACAGAATTGAATAAAAAGTCCAAGATCAACTGATATAAAAAAAAGACACACTTTTACACAGCATGGCTCCTTTCGCCCATTTTTGGTTTTCAGCACATCGAGCCATAGAGTTTCCCACCAGGTAAAATCCATCAATACAGGAATAGTGCACTGTGGTCCCGACCAGGTAAAAATCTCTGGGATCCTGGAGGAAAGAGATGTAACAGAGACAAACCAGGATTAAACATGAATTTCATCTGTGTTCAAGTTTGTTTGTTTTTACTTTTTAAAAAGAGTCACATTTACGCACAAGAATAAAAGCGTTCCACAGGTTGGGTGGAGAATTACATGTCTTTGGAGGAGGCAGAGTGACACCAAAACACTGAGGCTCCATCATCCTGGAAGGGAATGCTCACAACAGTTATAAACAACAGAGACATGACACATCGTAAAAAAAAAAAGTGTCGGATCTTTTCCAGCGTGGGTGTGTGTGTGTGTGTGTGTGTGTGTGTGTTCTCACTGTAGATGTTGGATCCCAAACTCCTCACAGGGCTTGTTCTCTACCTCGGGTCCAACACAGTGGCGCCCACCCCTGCTGGGGGCGGGGTTGTTACAGTTGCGTGTCCTTAACCTCTGACCTCCCGAACAAGAACCCCAGGAGGACCAGCAGCTCCAGCTGCCGTGGATGACTCCTGAGAAAAGAAAAAAACAAAATGTCTTGTTCAGGTTTAAAGGTCAATAACACAGTTACATCTCAGCTGAGGTTAAAGGGGGAGTTCAGGGTTTTTAGAGGCTGTAAATAATTAAAATAAATTAAAATTGTTGTATTTTCTTAGAAACATTTTCTTTCTCATATGAAGTTAAAAGGTTTTGGTCTGTTTAAAAGACTTTGGTCTGAGCTAAAATCATTGATTTTCTCTATGGACTTTGGTCTGTGAGCTAAAATCACTGATTTTCTCTATGGACTTTGGTAATGACAGAATTCTGGAGCCAGTCCTTTGTTTTGTGGCTTCAATTACTTTTGACAAATGTATCAGTCATTAAACTCATACATAACAACATACAACATTATTATCTACCCATATTTTGCAGGAATCTTTTATATATGGGAACATTTAACATTTAATAACCTGGTTGTTGTCCAGTCTCAGTTCCAACCCCACAGGCTTTTCCCGACGTTCCGGGTCGGCAGCTGCAGCTACACTCTGAACCAGTCAGCAGGGGCTGAGCGTTGTTCATGCAGGGCCTGCAGTGACAGGGATGTTCCTCGGACAGATACTCCTCCGTGGCCCTCTTCAGGTGGAGCTTCTTCAGACCTGAACACTCAACCTCCTTCACCAGCTCGTACAGAGGACGCAGCTGAGGAACAAGAAAGACCAACGTAGATGTTTTGAGTTGATCCGATCGACCTGTTTATATTTCATTACCTATGAGTTTTCACCCTGCATGTTGAAAATGTGATTTTCTGTACATTTGGACATACAATCACCTTATGGTTTATGATTTCAGGAAAATCTTTGACTGACGACGCCCAGTTGTCGTATATTTCTCCGTTAACCTCAGGATTTTCCAGGTCCAGGACGGACAGAGGACTGATGAAGGACGGATCTCCTCCAAAGATCTTCACCTTGATGGGCATTTTATTCACACTGTGACCTGGAAAGAATCAGAATCAGAAATGACTTTCAATGATGAAGGAAAATCTTAAAGTAATGTTTTTAAAAAGTGTTACTAAGTATTATTAATGAACTAAATGCTAATGACAACAACAATAACATATTATTATTATTATCATTATAAAAAGGCCAGACCACTCACCATCTTTGGCTGCTTTATTTTCAAATAACCTTACGCAGGTAATTTTCACCTTTTTCCTGAAAAAACGACGTTTGACTTTTCTCCAACATTTCTGATATTCGATATCTGTGGTCTCTGTAACACAGGTGAACAGAGATGTTCTGTTTTATCAAAAAAAGTTTCAAGTCACAGGTAGCAAAACATTGAGAGGAATATGATACAGAAAACCTTTAGTATTTTGTTTTTAATGTATATTAAATATATCATTTCTGTAATGCTCAAATATTTAAAAAAACTTTTTCCCTGTACTAGCATTAATATTCTATTTTATGATCAATTCACATTCATTTTGCCTTTGAATGTTCCAAATGTCAACTGTATAATCTATTATTTCTAAATCTAGACTGGAGTTCTTACGAGTGGAGCTGAAGTCCTGACGGTCCAGTTCTATCAGAGCCTGATACTCTCCGCCCAGAGAACCTTCAGACATGTAGTGGGTTCCGTACATCTGCAGCAGCTGACGGTAAGCTGAGTAGTCGTAGGTGAGGGGCAGAGAAGACAAAGCCCTCCAGAATCCTTCAGACAGAGTCAGGTACTGGGGAGCAGAGTTCTGGAACTGAGCCAGCTCCACCTTGTTCTTCAGGATCAGAAGTTTGTAGGCCTACGGAAGGAGAAGAACAAGAGCAGGAGTGAGTTCCTGACTGAGGACGATCGTGTGCTCAACATGTTGTTAGGGCTAGGTTCTAAGTTCTGGAAGAAGGTTTCAAGTGATTTTCTCCCCTGAAGAGAGACACTCTGGGTGCAGTACCAGAGTTGGCCAGCAGGGTACTGCGACATTATACTTTTGATCCAGTGGAACACCATCAAAAACACACATTACATTACTGTGCATTACAGCCCATAGAGACAGATTTTCATAGTCTAGAAATGGCTCCCCCTGCTGGCTGAAAAGCTGGTAACTTTCTTTTGCCCACAAACATACCTTATTTTCAGCCACCTCTTTGTGAAAGGTTCTGCGATCGTGTCCAAACAAAGCATTGGACTGAATGTGCTGCATGTAGGACCAGGAACTTTCATAGGACTCGTCCGTCTCCTCGTTGTCCACTGTCACCTGTGAAGACAAATCACAGCAACAGTCTCACCAGCAATCAGAAATAAATCCATCACTAAAACCAGACTCCAAAAACACCTGCTCCACATGGACATCAGTGACGTGGACTCACCTCGAAGTTGTACCTGAGGACGTTGTGAGGCAGACGGTAGTAAACCTTATGGTCTCCACTGAAGGTCTTCCTGCACTGACCTCCAAAACTAAGTGTGTTGATCACACCTGCTCTCAGTTTACCTGTCAACACGTCATAACTGTGGAGAAACAGAGGAGGAACTTCATGGATGATGATGAAAAAAGAAAAGAACGTGGAGCCGTAGGTTCTGTTCCCACGTCACATTCTCACCCTCTGCCTGTCAGCTCAGAGTTTGGAGGAGTTTTGTCGATGTCACAGATGTTCTGCCGATCTTCTGGAGCACAGTTCCTCTCATCCAGGCCGTCCTCGCAGTCCTGGTCTCCGTTACACACCAGTGACTGACTGATGCACTGTCCTGGGGATTTATATATATTTAATACTCCATATTTACACAACAGGCAGAAGGACACCGTGATCAGGCTGTGTGTCACAACAAACCTGTGGTGCAGCGGAACCGTTCTCCACAGCCTGTGTTCAGAGGACACCTCTTCTGGGAAACGCAGGCTTGAGTTTGAGTAGCTTCTCCTGAACATGGAGTTCCACCGAACTGAGCGTGAACGGCCACATGACGAGTACGAACCTGAGCAGAGAGACACACCAGGAGCATGTGAAGACATGGTGATCCAAGAACTGTTTGTTTATAATCAATTCTTATAACTCAGAACTGTTTAAACTCTGTTTTAACTGGTGTTTACTCTGCTTCTGTAACTGTGAATCCCCCTGGTGTAGGATTATCAACTCTTTCTTCTTATGTCATCCTATTGTATTGATTCATATTGAACGGTACGATGTCGTATCGTAAAGCTACAGTACCTTAGTGTTGCTGCAGCCGTCACACTCTGACCAGGCTCCGTACGAACCCCACCTGCAGTTCACTGGAGGCTGACTCCTGAAACCAGGAAATGACATCATCACCTGACAGAAACGTACTCTTATTTGCTCATCAAAGTGATTACCTAGGTTTTAAACTGTTTTGTTTTTTTCTAAACTTCTCTCTCTTTTCTGACAACTCTCACAAAATGGCATTAAAAGATTCCCAAATCCTGAAAGCGACCCATATATTTCTAACTTTCTCCGGGTTTTTTTTCTGCTTATTCTCTTCTTTCAGGCCAGGAGACAACAGTGTGTCCACGTGTGGTGCAGTTACACAACACTGTCTCACACATCTGAGCAGGCACAACTGAAACAGACATCTGAGAAAAAGACAAAAGTCGTTTCTCTGTGTGGTCCCTCAGTGCAGCTGATAATAAAAACTACTATTGTTATTATAATAATTATTATTGTTGATATATAAAGGACCAACGCACTTACCAAACTGTGGCTGCAGAGATGAAGAACAAAGCCAGATAACACAGAACAGCTGCTGGATCCTGCTGCAAAAAAATAAAGACATAAAAACAGAGTTTAGAAGGGATACAATTCCACAGTATTTTCCAAAAAAATGAACAAAATCTGGAAAATTAAACACTGTTAAGGTGTACAGCACCATGGTGACGTGTTCCTCAGAGTCCCGGTTCTCTTCTGATCCTGACCTTGTTAGACCAGGACTATATAATCCACAGTTGAGTCAACAGAAGACCTGAGGAACTTTCCAGCATGAAGAAATGCTCTCCTTTTCTCTGACTCATCAGTAACAGTAGATCTGGAAGTCTGTGTGTCCAGACCAGACTGGGTTTGTTTACAGTGAGAGCAGAACTGTTGACTCTGGAGGTCAAAGAACAGACTGTGATCAGCTTTGAGGTTTGTTTTTACTCAGGACTCGGACTCAGCACTGACCTGACACTCATGTTTGTCGTGTCGTCGTCACAAACTGAGAAAAAAGGTCAGACACATTACACAACTGAGTGGAGACTTTCAAGTTTAATAGGAAACTTCAGTCACAGGAACACTGTTCAAAAATGTAGAATGAAGTCCAGAGAAGGAAAAGACAGACGGAATCTACATGTTGACATTTGAATCCATTAGTAAAATCAAATCCGAGGCATGGATGTGACATTTGTGAAGCTTCTTCTGTCTTTGTCTTTTTTGAAGCGATGGAAGCTTTCTGACACCAGGATGGTCTCCAGGATCAATTTGACATGTTGGAAGTCATTTAATCTTCAGGAATGAAACATCTGTGAATTTGACGTTCAAAAGCAAGGATTCCCAAAGTGTGGTGGGCACACCTGGATGTGCGTGAGATGCCACTAGGGGGTGCACGAGATGAAAAATGTGATGGTGGTTTGGAGTGTTTTTTTAAGTGTGACTTTTTTACACAAATAAGTTTTGTAAATAAACATTTCCTTTGTAAAATTTTAAATCAGAAGCTGACATTTTATTTAATAAATAAATTCAGGCTATGTGTGTGTGTGTGTGTGTGTGTGTGTGTGTGTGTGTTCTGGTCATTAAAGGATGATTAATCATGCTGCTTGCTGCAGGTTTTTGTTTTTGTTTGGGGGTGTGTCATCGTGGTTGGGATACTGAGGGGCCAAAAAAGTTTGGAAACAGCTTTTCAAAGGTCAATATGTGAAACTCATGGCCCGTGTGCCAAATCCGGTCCATCACGTCATTTTATCATTTTATCTATGGTTGTCTTTAAATAAAAGTCTAGAGTGTAGAGTATACACAGTAATACAGTGGTCCTATTCCATGTGTGTATCACATAAGAGTAGTCAGTAATTCCCATTTCTAATTCTGTAATTCCAATTCTAATCAACACTATGATCATAAACATAAACTACATCTCCCATAAAACATGTTTGAAATGCCGGCCCCTTGAGTGACTGACCCAATGACCTACAGCTTTTAGAAGGAAAACCATTCTGACACTGCGACAGCACTGCAGTTTTTTTTTATATAAAGCTCACTGCCTCTTGGGTTCGAAAGGTTCTCTGATCTTATAGGGTTTTAAATCTTTGTATGAATAAGAAATAAACGAGAAGAATAAGAAAGGAGAATACAGGTTATTTCACTAAATTTGTTCTTCTCCCAGCCTCCAGAACATGGACATTCAGTCCAGTGAAGGTCTAAGACTTTGACCTCTGGACAACAGGACGTTATTTTTCTTTAAGGACATTTTGGTCACTTCCTGTTTGATCTAAACAACACCTTCTTTGTTGCTTTTGTTCTTCTGCTCACAAACTCGTAGTAAGATGAAGATCAGGACTGCCGTGATGAGGAGTCCACAGAAGAAGACGAGTGTCCCCCAAACGGCTGGAGTCAGAGATTTGCTCACCTCTGCCGTCTCTGCAGGCAGCAGGTTAGTCAGACTCAGCATGTAGCCCAGAGCCCAGCCCACTGTGGTGTCACCTGCCTGCAGCCAATAAGGAGTGAGCGTTAATCAAGACATCATTGTTATAATTCAATTGTTTTTCTTCCTATCTTTCTTTCTTTCTTTCTTTTACAAACATTTCTTTATTGACCTTCTTCTGGAAGGAAATTTTTGGAAAGGTCTCCTCATCAAAGCCATATCCCCTGGACAACAGAATGTGAACAAAGACGGAGACGGAACAGTAGTCCTGCAGACGAGACCTTTCATCTGGAGCCAGAAGCAACAACTAGACAAAAAGAAAGCAAGAAATTATCAAACAGAAGTTTGAGAATTTCTCTAATGTTCAAGAAGTTCTTTAAGAAGATTGAGAAATTCTCCGGTTCTATACAAGCTCTCCCTTGTATTGTATTGTGTTATATTGTGGTAATTATGGTATACTGATAACGAAATCCCAAATTCAGTGGCTTGGAAAATTAAAATATTAGCTAAGATTGATTAAAATAAATACTATTTTAAACACAAATGTCAGGATTCTGAAAAGTATGTTCATGTCTATCACTCTAATGATGAAAATGACTAGTCACAAAAGCTTGAAATACGTCTCTCTATGTGTAATAAATGTATATAATAATATGAGTTTCAATTTCTAAAATGACTGACAGAAAATATTGAACATTTTGACCATATTCTAACCTGGTGGAGGTCCATGTTGCACACGGACTTCGCAGCCTCCCCCAGCTGTGATGAAGTTGTTATTGTGGAACCAGTGACTCGCTGCAGGAAGGTGTGAGTGTAGAAGAAGGAAGAGAAGGCCTGACAAACACACACAGATAAAATATAAATATAATTCATCTTAACGTCCAGCCTCTGAGTCTGTTAGGGCATCATCTCTTCTCACCATGAAGCTGCCCCTGACTCCGGGCTGAAAGACTTTGTTGAAGGAGCAGTGGGAGAAAGGACAGTCTTGGAAGGAGAAGATCTCAGACACGTTCCCCACACAGAGATCGTAGCGTCCACTGCCTTTCACCCTCACCAACCTCTGTGGCTCAGAAACGTCTGGGACGTAGTGGCTGGTGCAGGGAGAACTGAATAGGCTGCCCAAGATGACGGTCCTGTTGAGGTCTGAGGGGTAACAGGGATGGTCCACCAACGATGGGAAGCCCTGAGACTGAGACCCCGAAGAGAGAGGTAGAGAGAGTGGGCAGGGGGTGAGAAAGGTTGGTCAGGTGAGAAATTGTAACTTTGATTTTGAAATGAGACAAAGATGTCATTGGAAAATGATCTAATCCTCCAAAACATCTTTCTCACCTTCACACACATTCTTCCTTTAGGATCACCCCTACTCCATTTCTCCATGTCACAAAATTTCTACTCTTCTTCTCTCCATCACATCAGCTATTTCTCTACTTTTCCCTGTCATTGTACCTACATTCAAAGTTCCAAACTTCAGACTAACACTTCTATTCTTCATCTTTTCTCTTTTTCTCCTAACCAAACGCCCTCCTCTTCTTCTCTGTCTCTGACCAACAGTAGTCCAATTTCCACCTGTACGCTGTAGGTCAACAGCACTGTTGGCAGTCGTTGTTAAACCGGGCCTCGACCGATCCGGCATGGAAATCGTTTTTGTGATTCGCATATCTGATTTGGCCAAAGGTTTTACACCAGATGCCCTTCCTGACGTAACCCTCACCACTTATCCGGGCTTGGGACCGGCACTATAAAACACTGGCTTGTGCACCCTAGTGGCTGGTTTCGATACGATACTGATAGTGATGTTTATTATTTTTCTGCAGCCCAGTACAGAATGACTCACGGCCTGGTGCTGGTCTGCAGCCCAGTGGTGGGAGATCTTTGCTTTTAGGTTGCAGTGTGCAGCCACTGACTTCAATGATGCAGCCAAGGTCTATCTATCTCTGTAGCTGTCTAGTTTCTCCTTCAGTATGAAGACACATGGTCTCACCTGGACTAAATGAGCAAGAAGTCTGGACAGAACCTGCTCCCGCCCGTAGCACTGGAAGCTGTGCGTGTACAGAGAATACTCCTGTCCGTACAGATGCAGCTTCATCCCTTCTTGTTTGTCCTCCAGTTCCTCCTGAGTCACAAATGTGATCTGAGTGGAGGCACCGCCCATATCAAGAGCTCCAACTGTGGGTCTGCCAGCACGGAACCAACGGCCCACAAAACCATACTGGGAAGAAGGAAAAGAGTTCAACATTATTTTAAGAATTAAAAACTACATGTTGTGTTGATGAGGTCAGAGAACTTTGAAGTACTTTAATGAAGTTTTCTAACAGATAGTTGACAGTGACCCAGCCGTATGCCCCCTCCGCACTACCACTCAGGATGGACGTGCCACTGAAGTTGAACGGGTATGACTGGATTTTATCTCCCACTTCCTGCAGAATCTGACTAGATTTCTTCGGATTGGAAATCCTGCAGGAAGTAAATGAAGATAAATCAAATAATTTCTGTGAACATCCATGTTCATAAATGAAGCTGTATGAGCAAGCTTACTGCAGAAGCCTCATCCCTGCTGTGGCCCCCAGAAAAACCGGTGTCACATGGTGTCGCTCTTTGGGGATTTCCTTCAACGCCTGGTCCAGACACATCTCCAAGCTCCGCCCCGCTGCCCCCGGCTGGTCTACGTAGCTGGAGATCCCTCCGCCTGAGGGAGTGAGTCAGTTTTCAACCAAGGTTACTGCTGAGACATCAATGAAGATCAACATCCTCTGTCCTGTCCTCACATCACCAGTCAAATATCTATTGATGTGACGTGTCTTATTGACGTGTCCTCGACCAACGTTGACTATAACCTGGTCAACTCTATGACTAGTTTACTCAGGACCAGCTGTTCATTACAGATCACAGTCTGATCAGTTTCTTCTCATACCTTCTCGTGGCAGTGACGTGTATTAAACCCTGTTGAAGCTCAGCTTCAGTTGCTTCAGTGGGGCAGCACTGCAAAGGGTTTTTGTCTGTGGTTGTTTGACCCTAACTGGATAAAAAGAACTTTTTTAAAGAACGTAGCGTAGTTTCTGTCTGTCCTGTGTGGAGTTTTCCAGAGACAAACTGCAGTCTGTTGTTAGCCTAGTTAAACAATGACAACATTTGTCAATTATGAGGGAGAGAGGCCTGCCCTCGGGTATTTTTCTGCACATATATATTTTTCTACATAATACTCTTGTTACCTTCTTCTAGATGTTTTTTTTTAATTTACTTTTATTGTTAGAACAGGCAGCCAGCTAGCTAATTATCCAGTGGTTCTCCAACTGTTTCTGCTCTGTACTACCTGAGAAAACCCTGATCTCTCTGAGTACCACCATGATGACCAACATTAGAATACAGCAGCAGAGGCCTTCACTGTTAGCTTCCACCACAGGAGAGAGGTTTAGACAGATGTTTAGGTTTAAATGTTGTATTAATTGTGCATGGTATGTTTCAGATTGATTCAATTGAAAATGTAAATGTAAATGTGAAAATTTTCCCCACGTACCACTAGAGAGCGCTGGTTCTCACACTGTGGTATGCGTACCACAGTTTGAGAACCACTGATCTAGCATATGCAACTGAATGAGTCATGTGATCATGAGTGGCATTTTCACACTCAACAGGAATCGACTCCTGCAGTATATTAGTTAATGCACAGTGACTCTTTTGTGTTCACACTGACATTTAATATGGAACTGGAAGTTGGTTGTTGGTAATAAAAGTTCTAAGTGTAAGAAACGCACATTCAAACGTTGAGGTGGCACTAATAAAGTAACAGAACTTTATGTTTAAACAACTGGACCTCAAATGAGCTCCAGCTGACAGAACCATCAACCAGTACTGCTGTAAAGGCACCTTTTACGTGACATTCAAAGTGCTGGGTAACGACCCCGGTGCCGTTCTGTTTATCCGCTCTCCACTTGTAAATAAACATAGCTGTGTGTGAAGATCCAGCGTCCAGGACGATTCCAAACTGCAGGCAGGAAAGGAAGAGAAGGAGAAGAAGAAGGAGAAGAAGAAGGAGAAGGAGAAGGAGAAGCAGCATTCTTTACTTAATGAGATCAGACTGAGAACATAAAAGAGGCACACAGACAGAACTGAAGTTAACTAGAACAGCCTGAAGGCCTTCAGGTCACACATCATGTTAATCAGGTTAATGTTCAAACCTGTCTGCAGCTCCTCTGTTTGACTTGACTCATTATGTTGTAGACTAACAGAGAATTATATTTAATGAATTCATCTTCAAGCTAAAAACGCTGAAGACAAAACTGACAGCAGAAAACTAGCTAAAAATATAGAATGTACTCATTAAAAAAAGAAGAAGTTCTTTGTAACAAAGTCTTTGTGACAGAGCCGTTTGTAACCCTGTGAAAAGAGGAGCTGTGACATTTGGCTCAGAGAGAAATAAAACACACACAGAAACCATGGGATTTTCAACCGTTAGGACAAAAATGAAGGAGAAAAAAAAGGGAGGTGTAAAAAAGAACCTGAGCTGAATGAAAATGACCTGGTTCCCGCTGAGGGACTATTTTCTTTAAGTTCAATTACATCACATTACATTACATTTAGCTGACGCTTTTATTCAAAGCGACTTAAAATTTAAATAGTCAATTTCATTGTAATATGTCAGCGGGAACCAGAATGAAACCCAACTGTGGCAACATGAGGTTAATGTTCAAACCTGTCTGCAGCTCCTCTGTTTGACTTGGCTCATTGGCTTTTATTCACATATAACAAAATATATACACAAAGCTTAACAAAAAACATAAATTAACTTCTAAAACCTACGAGTATCCTGTAATTACTGACGCTGTCCCACAGACCCAGACCAAGGTGAAGTCAGAACATACCATGAATCCTGGTTCATTGTGAACATCCTCACTGTGAAGAGTCAACAGCAGCAACGACAACAGTCCAAAGATGAGCAGAGGGATCAAGAGGAAGAGCCGAAGAGCCGAGGAGGAGGAGCAGAGAGCCATGAAGTGCAGTTGACCAAGTCTGTCCGAGGCTGACTGAGTGACTAACATCACCTTCCCCTTCCCCTACTGCTGCTGATACTGGCCTCAGTGTGTGGCCTCATTTCCTGTTCTGATGTGCAGTATAAACCCAGAGCTGCTGTCTGTAGATATGTAGCAGAAAGAACCACAGCCGTTTCCTGTCACTAAAAACCGGCCTGTGAAATACTAGTCTCTCAAAGCACCACCAGTACAGCTGTACAGACCGACACTGACAAACATAACTGTGTTACAACCAAGTTACTCTCCCAATAGAAATCAGTTGTCCTTATGTACCACTAGAGGGAGCCAAAGTGCCACCAGAATGAGTAACAATAAAATAAAAGAGTAGACTACAGCTGTACAGACCGACACTGACAAACATAACTGTGTTACAACCAAGTTACTATCCCAATAGAAATCAGTTGTCCTTATGTACCACTAGAGGGAGCCAAAGTGCCACCAGAATGAGTAACAATAAAATAAAAGAGTAGACTACAGCTGTACAGACCGACACTGACAAACATAACTGTGTTACAACCAAGTTACTATCCCAATAGAAATCAGTTGTCCTTATGTACCACTAGAGGGAGCCAAAGTGCCACCAGCAGCATGTGTACCACAGTTTGAGAAACACTACACTCAACTACAAAGAATGCCTCATCACTAACACCAACATTC